CAGGGAGTACATATGTCAGATGACAAAAAATTTTTTCATACATAAAGGAATAATGTTAATAATTGACGAAGATCACTAGAGACTTTAGGATTTAAAATAAATCTATGTTGCACTAGAGGACAGCTGCTTTTCAAATCTGACCCAGATCCATGGAGAGCGGTAGTCTTGATAAAAGCTGTTAAATGTAGATAGTCTAGTCTGTAGTCAGTTTGACACAGTCTTGTCTTGCCTGCAGCTACTCTTGCAGTCTGATCCACCAACGTCCCAGTGAAGTGAAGGTTATGAAGAACTTGGTCTTGTCCGTTCTAGTGGATTTGATGCAAGTGGAACAAGTCAGGGGAATACAAGACAGGATGGGCATGATACATCCCTTTTATTTTTCTCAGCAAAGATTGCCCAGGTTTATGCTGGTATCAGACATTCAATTTACAGCAAAAGCACACGGTAGCTTAGTCCAATGTTGAAAGAAATATTGTCCATAAAAGCTATGTTCTAACACAGTGCTTGTATTAATTTGATCATTTATAGGATGGAACAAGTGTCATTGTAATTGCTGAGCTGCTGCTTTGCTGAAGTCACAGTGATTTTATTGTGGAGCAATATACAACTACACTTTTAATTAGTGCATTCATGATGCTCACAGCCATTATGAAGAGCTTGTTGGGCATGCACACAGTAGGCCTGTTATCTTTGAATCATCACTGAGATGATTCTGCGCTGGCCTCTGCTGCATTTATTTGGAAGGCAGTTATGGATAATGGATTGACCCACTGACGTCCTAAGGTGTTTTCCCAATGTGTTGTCTTGCAGGAGTGAACTATGTGCAACTGAACCAGGAATTCTGCAATACTGCTTTGGGTTCAGATGCTGTCTTTTTAGCTTTGCAAAATTAACTTGATCTGTTGATTGTGTTCTTCAAGTTGTGACATGAAAGTAATGATATTTCAAGCATTGCAAGAACTGCTTAGGACTAGGAAGTTTCTAACCTATAAGGGGGAAGGAGCACAAGAAAAGGCAAGCACAGATATTGTGTTCCCTATGAAGACACTGCTAAGATTGTATTTCCTGTCCTAAGAGCTAGAAAAACTATAGACTGCTCTGGCTGAGGGTGTGCGTCACCATGTGCAGTTCAGTCATAGAGGCTGATTCACAACACCTACACCTGCTCCTTGTACCTTGCAGCTCTTTTAGACGTGCTCTGGATTTTCTCAATAGCATAAAAAGTGTGTGTTGAGTGCTGATAGCTCAGCTGGAGCAGACTCTTGGAAACATTTGTAGTTTTACCAAAGGAAAACAATTTTAGTCACTTGACCCTCAACATGTGCAGTCTCCTCATCATTGCATAGAGAAGCCTCATGTACAGGTTTTAAGGTGCATTGTACTATAGTTTTCAACTATAACCAAAACCATTGTTCTTTTTTCATACATGTTTGAGATATATATACACGTGTATGCTTCCATAAATGTCTATTGGCTTTTGCTCAGGAGGTCTAAAAAACTAAAGCCTATGTTTGAACGTGCATACACAGGTATATACACATACAGAGGGAAAGTGGTAGATTTTTTTTACTTTTATGGGGTAAAGTGTGAAATCAGTTTATTGAAGGTAATTTTATAGTATATTAAACTTAGAATTAAATATAGACAGGAAATTCTGTACAGAATTTTTAGAATAGGATTTTTATCGTGTATTCATAAGAATGACAGTTCTTGACAGGTAGCAAATCATTAACTGTGTCACATGGTTTCCATATGACTCCAGTTTCAGTTTGTGTTTATATCAGTAAGCCTTTTAACTTTTCTTGGATTGCAAGTCTTGTAAAGCTATGGGAAACCTGTGAATATGCAAATCTACATTTTTTTAAAAGGAAAAATCTCCATCCATGACCAGTATTAAGGTAAGTCTGAATTTTGTGACAGGCTTTTAAATGTATTGTGAGAACTGGAGGCTTTGCTAATCACGTTTTACTGTTTCTGCTTTATCACAAAATGATTCTATAAAAGTATGTTAGTTTTTAGATCAGGGTTATGTTTATATTAGCTGACAGACGCTGTACTCTTCTTGCTCCTGTCATGTTAGATCTCATATGTTTAATAAGACTGGGGGCGATATAGTTCTGAGTGATACAAGACACCCTCTCCTGTGGAACTTAATTGTACCCCACCTGGTACATGAAACCATGGTGCTCTTTGGAGTGCTGTCATGCATAAAATATAGGGGATATTAAGGGCTCAGATCTTCAACAGAGATTTAATGTGCACCTGTGAGCAGGCATTTGTGCTTGGCCTTGGAATTAAGACATTGGACATTCGGGAGTACAGATTTGTGAGTCTCTGTAGATTTTTTTTAGGTTAACATGACGAAAATGTAAACCCTGTGTCTTACCAGCCATTCCAAGGCTCTTTCAAGACTAGATTCCTTCTTCAAAATAATTATGAGACTGTGAGCAAGCTGACATGCTTGATAATATGTGGCTCCTCATTTATCTCAGCTTACCTGATGGTTTCATGTACCACCAAGATGTGCAGACAGGTCTGCAGACTGCCAGCATGGCAGCAGTTGGACAGTATACATGTCAGAAGTAGAAATCACCTGATTCACAGCTACTCTTCGTGCTGTTGTTTTAGAGGAGTCTGGACATAGCCTGTAAAACTTCCTTTCTTATTAGGGATAATATGATAATGAGATAATTCCTCTTTGTGAAGAGCTCAGATACAAAATTATAGGGAGATTGTAAAGAGGGAGAAATCCAGTTACCCTATTTATTCATTTCAGGAACAAAATTAGAGGCTGCTCTTTGCCACTCAAATGTCTAGTACAGTATTACTCATTAAATGCGAACCTTGGTGTACTGTGTACTTCAGCCATAAATTACCTATCCAGAGAACTTTCTGTTTGGATCCAGTTATTGACTGACCTTTTACTGTCGTGTTTCCTGCAACAGCCAAATAGTGAACCTGTTAGTTTTTGTTTTTTTTTTTTTTTTTTTTAAATCTGTTCTAAAACCGATACATAATGTTCTTGACACAAAAAAGAATATAGCTTGACAAAGGTGGTACATCAAGCTGCAGAATGACATGGTGTTCTTATATACAGGAAATACAGTTTTCTTCGGAATTTCTTTGAATGAACCCTACTAATAAATTCTTAAGTTGGTTCATACATAAGTATTCAGATAGCAAACATTTGTAAACACAAAGTTCAATTTATGCTGGACTTCGTACCGAAGTCCATTTCCCCGAATCTGACTGTGAATTGGAAATAAATTGCTGTAGTGATTTGAAAGAGATTAATGGTGTTTTATTGGAGAGAATAGGAAAGAACAGTGAAAGGATTCCAGCTATCCCAGCTGATCTTTGCCTGATCTTTCTGACCTCTGTTGGGCTGGGACATGAAACCTAAGTACAAGATAGAACAAGAGGCTAGAAATAGCTAAGGACTAGATTTTAAAAAATAATGTTTAGACAGCCAGCGCCTTTTAAGGCTGTTATATTCCCACTTGTCTTCATTAGGAAATTAAGAGCTTAAGTTCTCTTTTTTGGATTTGTACCTGGGTCAGAGCATAGCCACTCAAAACAAGCAAAGAGTTTTCATTACCTTTCAAAAGTTTTGTTCATGGGATATTAACCGATTGTCTCATTTCATTCATCTATGGCAGTGTGCCTAAATTCACACAAATCCGAAGGAGACCTGTCTCTGCATGCCCTTCCCCTGCCCTGAGTTCCTTGGCACAGCTGTTCCCCCTCTATTGTCTGCTGTTCCGTGGTGGCACCAGCCCAAACCTGATGCTTTGGCATGTCCTGAATCCTATCCTTTGGAATTGCTGCCAGCAGCTTTTTCCTGATATGCAAATGAAATAAGGGACTTCATAATTTTAACATTTATAGCTTTGCAGAGGTGGAAATGAATGAGACAAAGAATGTACTGCCTTATAACTTTTCTGTTTCACCTCGCAAATGCCACAGGTCTACAGAGGAAAGATGCACAAGGATACTCAAAGGGGTCACAAGAATCCTTGAAATTTTAGGTGATGTAAATGTATTTCAGACTGATAATTAATTGTATTTGTACTAGACAAGTGTGGTTAGGTCATCTGTGTGCAGCTACTACTCACACAGCTTGGGAGATGTTTCCCAAAGAGGTGTAGACTGGTGCAGGTCTGGCTCCCTACAAATCTCTTCCACAGGAGATTTCTTGCTGCATATGGCAAAACAAGCATAAATGATAAAACCAGGAGACGTATGCACACAAATGCAGTAACACAGTTGGAAATGACGTGATGATGTGTACTCTGATACGATGGTGTGTACTCAGGGCAGGAATATTCTCAGTGCTTTGTGTTGTGCATAGTAAGGGAGAATAGCTCAGCAGGTAAGCAAGTTCTGGGAAGGAATCAATCTTTTTTTTTTTTTTTTTTTTTTTTTCCTGTAAACTGGTTTTAAAAAATAGTAGAGGTAAGCTTGTTTCTTAGTATTTTGCAACTCTTAAGAATTACCTCAAGAGCTGCTTGGTAAGTGAAGAGTCACTGTGGTTGGGAGAGTGGGTGCCACCATCAGGTTCAGAGGTGCAGCTTCTCTTGGGCTGATTGTTCACAGATATCTCGGTACATTCTGCATTTTTTATGTATTTGTTTAAGTGGTCATGTGAATTGCTGTATGATACTTTAAGATAATTTTACTGCTGATCTTCCTTTTTTCTTCTTCTTTTTAGGAACCAGTAATGAAGAATGACACCACCAATTAAAAAGACAATTTACATTTATCTTTTCCAGAATATGCATGTATCAGTGTAGTTAATTTAGTATTTAAATCAAGAATCCAGAAAAATGCAAGTCCTTTTGCCATAATAAAAATGCATAATCCAACTTTCCTTTGTATAAAGCACTACAAGCAGGTGCTATCATCAGGAAAAAGACTCCATTGGAGGAAAACATTTAGATTAATTCTGACTTTCCTTTATGTGAAGTGAGGTGAGAATGACAAGAGTGGCAGTCTAATGCATGATGAAATTTACTAAGCAGAATTTTATTCTTTTAGTTGGTGGAATTATAATTTATGTAGTTGATATTGGAGTGGACTTCTGGGTAGCTAGTAAATACTTCTGTCAAGGACAATATTGTTGGGCTATACTGATACTGTGTTTTAGAGGTCTTTCATCATTAATAACTCAGATATTCAGTTATGAGTGGTTTGAAAATGACTGGGAAGGTACTGATACTAGGAAGTTGAAATGGATTTTTCTAGTTCATCTCTTTCAGTGTGGAATTTTTATAAGGTAAGCATATTTAGAACTTTATTTTAAAATGAAAAATCATGTTGCTTTAAGATATTTTATTAAGAAATGCTTAGTATAGCTTCAGGGACCAAGCCACATCTGGCCTTGACAGTTATTGCTCCGTGTAAGCAAATGTCTGCTTATGCCAGAGGTAAATTACATCAGGTTTTGATGGAAATGTAGATCTTCTTTCAATTTTACCTGCAAGTAATAATTACTAGTTAGGTCATGGCCTAACTCTATTTGATTCATCAGCCTTTTGATAGGGCATATTTAATAAAAATGCTTGCTCTACAGAGTAATGCTGTTGTAACTGATAAATGTAAGTTTCTAAAGTGATGTTAAGAAGGGAATTAATTTGATTGCACTCAGCAGGTGAGGCAGCTGAAGTAAGAAGTAATTATTTTTGAACATGAGAGGCTAACCACATGTAGAAATCCCACCAAGATTCGGGAGAGAAATGAATAGTTGAATAGTTAGTAAGAATACTTGCAGCAGTACTTCCTGCAGGGACTGAGTTAATGGTGACAGGAACCTTTGTTTGCTGAAAGGCACACGTCTAGGAATAGTTTAAGATACCATATGCTTAACATTCTGTGGTGGCTTTGCTATAAGATTATCAATATCATTATACAGATCATTTGTGCCAAGGTTTTACTTCTATTTTAAAACTGAGGTGAAAGATGTTGGTGAAAAGTCCTGAATTTTAATTATTTTGAGTATGCAATGTGCAAGAAATGTAAGTGAATATAGACTTATTAGAGGCACTTAATAAAATACTTATTTAAAATCTCTCCTTTAACTTCCTATACTAGTCTATGGACAGAGATGAAAGATATATTTATGCCAATGTAAAAATTCCCCTCACACATGTTTTATTCACTTGATGTTATCATGGATTAAGGAAAATGATGGAGCTTTTACATGTCACAATTACCTTTTGCCTCTCAATATTCTTTTTAATTTTGTCTGTCAGCTTTACTTTCCTGCTCCTCCTGCTCTTACAGTCCCAAATTTTTGACTTCACAGAAGAGTGTTTACTGACATGTAACTTTTCTGGTGTCAGGTATTAGGAAAACTTATAAATACTACATTTTGAAGAAAAATAAAATCCCTCTTCAATTTCTCTGGATGGTTTCTTATTTGCTAACCAGATCTGTGGTCATGGGTTGGTTTGTGTGAGACATACCAAGACCGGGCCACAGTCTACGAGGTTCTGCCTTTTAGAGGGGATGTCACTGTGACACACTCCTTTTTGTCTGTCCCCAACACTTTTCATCTGCAGGTATGCCTGGAAGTGCCGTTCTTGTGCTCATGACTTACAAACCTGCCCTTCTGAGTTTGTTTCTTCCAAGGTAAATTAAAGCCATGACCTCTTTTTCTGACAATTGATGATAAATTTTAAGCCAGTAACCATAGCATGTCAGAAGCCACTCTTTCAAAGTCTGGCTGAAAACTTCCCTTCTTCCTGTTTCTGTTCCATGACCTCATTCTCTGTAATCTCTTCAGGACTGTGATTATAGTTTCACCTTTGGCTTAATTTTACACTCCCAGGTTGTCCCTAAAATTTCCTGC